AAAAACAATTATAGATCTTGCAAAACCTTCAAAATTGTATTTCAAACCAATTTTCGAACACATTTTGTATGCAATTATTTTATCCTCGTACAAAGTTCAATTTCTCTGGGATTTCACATTCACCAAAATTTAGTAAGTACGATTTTTTATAGTAAATTAATTCCAGTATTTTTGCGATAGCAGACGCAGAACCTGAAAAATTCTGAAAAATTTATTTGTTAAGATAATTTAAACATGGGAAGTTTAGAATGCAGGGTGCAACAAACATGCGCCACTTAGCTCATACCTGTTCACTTTCATTCATTTGACTGATTATGATGCTGAATGATAGTGAATGAAAATTAATTTCCTGTAATTGGAATGAAAATGACTTAAGGATTCGATCATTTCAGATGAAATGATTTTGAAATGCGAATAAAAATGAGTTTGAAAGAAAATGACTGAATGTGAATGAAAATCATCAATCAGATATCGAAATGACTTACTTTTAATTGAAAACTAAATTTTTGAACAAGTTGCGCCCTACCACACTTCTTGCAAGCTCATTTAACTGATTTACAATTCGATTTAAACTCTGGTTAACGTTGGGTGATTTTACCGCCACACGAAAATAGCACGTTCAAAAAAATTTTCATTCAAAGTTCAGCCATCCCGATTTCTGACTCAAGACTATCATTCACATTCAGGCATGTTCTTTCAAACTCATTTCATTTCACTTCATCGGACTTCATTTCTTACTTCGCCCCATGAATTAAGCATAGGGTGGAAAATGAAATGAGTGAGAAGTCCTTCATTCACCGTTATTCATCTGAAATGACGGAATCCTTCAGTCATTTTCAATTAAATTGCAGGAAATTCATTTTCATTCACTATCACTCACCATCATGATCACTCAAGAAAGTGAGCAGCTATGGTTCCTTACCTGTGACTCAACACGAATTTAGCTCATCGAAGAAAGGAAAGCAAGAATTAAGCGACGAATGATAAATTTTGAAAATAAACTTAACATAAAAGTAATAGCAGATGAAATAGCAATTTAAGTAGAATGAAAAACTAAGATCAAACCAATTTATTGTGCAAATTTTATTGTATTTTTTCCTTATTAAAGTTATATTGTAAAAAAATTTATTCATCAAAATTTATTAATTCGTTTTAATTTTTTATTAGATTAAACTAATTTAACGGTTTTTTGCCAGAGTAAACGCCGAAGAAAAACTGAAAAATTAATTTTTTTCGAATACTTTCCGATCCACAATTTTTATCCTGTTTTGTTTGTTGTTTTAAGATTTTACAAATTAAATTTAAGTTAAATTAAGTTTTAATTTAAGTTAAATTAAATTAAGTTAAATTAAATTAAGTTAAATTAAGTTTTAAATTAAGTTATATTAAATTAAGTTAAATTAAATTTTAGTTTTAAGAGTTAGTAAGATTACTACGAAAAATAAAGTATTTTGAAAAAAATAGCGACTACAAAACTATCATAGATTGCAATTTTCAGGAACGAAAAACTATAATTAAACCAATTTTCGAACACATTTTTTTTCATCGCCTAAAACCGTTTTTTCAAATAAATTCATCAAAATTTAATAATCCACCTTGCTTTTTTTAGATAAATAAACCAACATTAAACCATTTTCCGAGAACATTTTATTTTATCTTTTCCCTATTAAAGTTATATTCTAAAAATAAATTCATCAAAACTTTTAAATTCTACACTGGATTTTTTATTTAGATTTAGTTAATTTATGCTTTTTTGGTGTGGTTCAACCCTTAATAAAAAAATTTCTGAAAATTTTAATAATTAATAACACTCTCAGATCACAAAGATCACTTTTGGGCTTTGGGTCATCAATCGTGTATTTGTGAATTAATTAAAATTGTTTAAAACTTTGTAAATTAATGAAAACGTTTTTTCTTCGAGATATGCAAATATCTAAATTAAATTCCAATGGTAAAGTATTTCGAAAAAAAAATAATTCAGAACCCATGACCACATACCTGTTCAATTTCATTCATTTAAGTGAATGTGCATGATGGTGAATGATAATGAATGCAAATGAGTTTCGTGTCATTTGAATGAATATGACTGAAGGATTCCGTCATTTCAGATGAATGACTGTGAATAAAAGGATTTTTCACCCTATCATTTTTCATTCTTTGCTTAATTAATACATGGGGGAAGTAAGAAATGAAGTCAAATGAAGTGAAATGAAATCAATTTGAATGAAAATGACTGAATGTGAATGAAAATCCTAAATCGGATTTTTGAATGAAAACTAAATTTTTGAACAGGTGTGTGCTTGCATATATAATTCCAAATTTATTAATTCTCCATATTTAATTGTTTTTTTTAGATTTAACTATTTATTTTTTAAATTTAATCATTATTGAATGAGTTAACTGACGCAAGTGTTTTAAAAAAATTGTAATAATGATTTTGAGGCAATTACAGATTTTTAGGTTCACTTTTTTCAAAAGATTTCCGAATTCTTTTTATTAGAACACATTTTAAAATTTATTTTATCCTAATATTAACAACGTTCAATTTTTCTGGGTAAATAAATTGTTCAAAATTTATAAAACACTTTCCGAAAAAATTTCAATTATTTTTGAATGAGTTAAAGGACGATTAAAGTATTTTGAAAAATGTAACAATATTTTAAGAACAATGACAGATCATGGGCCTTTTTGAAAGAAGTTCCGAACCCAATTTACGGTTTATTTCGTACCCAATTTGATCCTCATGTTTATTTATTTACTTAAAAGTTCAATTTTTTGTGTGCTACGTTTTATGAAATCATATGAATGAATTTTCAATCGTTTCCGAGCGTACCATAAGATTTTATTTTCGTTTTATCTTAATATTTATTTCCAAATTTCAATAGTATTGAACACCAATACCAATTTCAAATCAATTTCGAACACATTTTACGATTTATTTCGTAAAATTTCGTATGTAATTTTTTCCTCATATTTACAACATTCAATTTTTCTGGGTAAATAAATTGTTCAACATTGATAAAACACTTTCCGAACAAATTTCAGGTATTTTTGAATGAGTTAAAGGACAAATAAAGCATTTTGAAAAAAGTAATTTTTTTGGAACAACGGCAGATCATAATACATTACAGACACAATTTCCAAACCCAATTTTGAATTTATGATTTATGTCGACATAATTTTATCTTCATGTTTATTTGTTTACTTAAAAGTTCAAATTATTTGTGTTACGTTTTATGAAATCATATGAATGAATTTCCTATCGTTTCCGAGCACACCGTATGAATTTTTTCTCTTTTTTTCCTCACATTTATTTCTAAAGACAGTGATCGAATTTGACGGTAACCGTGGGCCCCTTACGTACATATTTGAAGAGATTGGAAGCGAGATGTCAAAAGCCGATGTTAACTTAATTTCATAACGACGTTTACTTGAATGTTAAGGATCATATTTATAATTGTATACAATATAATTTGTACATATAACACAGATATTATACACACAGATAGTATATACATATTTATGGAGATGCATAAATCAGCACCTTTAACTTCTGGGTCCGAAGAATATTCGATCCATAGATCGTGGGCTTTGTTGGCTGTAAATCTTGATTCAATCTTGGCTCGCACGATGTTGGGAAATTCTGAATTCAGTTTAATTTCAAAGATTGGAGAATTTTTCATGTGCAGATTAGCGTATCTCTTGGCCAATCCAATCTGATACACTCCAAGGGTAATGTCCTCTAAATCGTCAACGGAAAGCTTCGGGAATTTTGGAAATTCTTTCAGCGAGGCTGTCTTCCATTCCTTAGTCCGGCGATCCATCTTCTCGTCCTCCACTCGCTTTTGTAGTAAATTCTCCTGGTCAGCAAGTTCCAATGCTCGTTCGGCTATCTTATCATGCTTGGGTGAGTGGGTGGAGAGAGGAGGGCAGAAACAGTTAATAAGGGCGCAACCAATTCTGAAGAACATGGGCAGCTTCTCAAGGTATCCTGCAATTAATCGCACAGTGTAATAACTTTAAAACTTGTACCAACATACATTGACATTGGTACGCATAAATTATTACATAGACTTACCTCCTGGAACCGTCTCTCGAAATAATTTGAACTTTTTCTTGATTCTTCCATTTACTGCCTCCACCAACCATCTGACCAACGTGACCCGTCTTGACTCATTTCCTTGCGAAGTGGTGAATTGTTTATCATCGGTGTCTAGTAGTTCCGGCATATGTGTGAGGTGTCCAAGGCGAAGAAGAGTCTGAATCACGTCTCTGAATCCCCTGTCCAGAATGTGGTGATCGCCCGGTTTCAAGTAAGGTGAATCAGGTGGCAGCTCCGACAAGATGGATTTTAAGATCCCAGCGTCGTTATTCGCACCTGCAATTAAAAATTACGGATTATTTGACAATTATGTAACTTGCAATGGATTATACATTTTGCTACATCTTCCAGCTTTGCCGCTAAAATACACTTACCATTTGCATAATAAGGACCACACGCAGCCAAGATATACCCTGACGGAAGAACTATCATGAATGGTTTGATCAAATTGCGTTTTTTCTGCCCAGAATAAGTTAGTTTCTGCAGGTGAAAATCGGCCGGCTTTTCAATATAAATATAGGTTCCATCCATATAACATATCAAAATATTTTATCAAAATATCCATGTATAACATATCAAAATTTGGGGCGAATATCACGGCGGGGCATTTCACGTAAGGACAGTGCCTCCTCCTTTAAGTATTTTTTTTACTGAGGCAGCATGAACTTTTTATAATTCTCTTTTCTTTATTGTGAGTCTCTTTACTTTGACATATGTAATTTACCAAAAAATTCAAATACAAATTAATTTTTTCAGCGAGCTAACCGACGAATAGAGTATTTTGAAAAAAATAATAATCTAGAAACAATGAAAGGTGAAGAAGATTTCAATTTCAACTAATTTCCGAACACATTTTATCATTTATTTCGTATGTAATTTTATCCTGATATTTACAAAGTTCAATTTTTCTCGGGTAAAATAAGCTAATCAAAAATTTATTAATTTCCGTTCATACTCAATAAAGTTAAGTTAACAAGAGTCCATAAAATACAAGTCGGTCTCTCGCTCGTGGTAGCAGTGAATGGATGTGGGCATTAAAGATCAATTATAAGTATTTTTTATGGGGGAGCATTCATTTTTTTATAATTTAAATATCTTTTTAACCGGGGCAGAATTAAAATTTTCATAATTTCAGTAATTTTTTTACTGGGGCAGCATTAACTTTCTATGTACTTTCACACATTCGCATTTATCCAAAAATGTAACTAATTAATTACTTGTAAAGAGTTTAATTAATAATTAATATCATCATCATCATCATCATCATTATATTTAATTAATTACCATTGTGCGGAAATAATTTACATTAATAAGTAATAAATAGATCAAGTAAAAGCTGTATCGTATTAATTAGTTAATTAATCACATTAATTGATCAATTAATTAATGAGTGAGTAGGAATTATAGGGTGAGGGGACTAGGGAAAAACCCGGGTGAAAATTCTCGTCTACTTTCCGAATCGGAGGTGACCATAGTCGTCAAAGTCTTTGGATGGCTGATTCCTCTTTCCGAACCGCATGTGACCGTAATCGTCGTACTGACGTTTCCGGAAGTTGTTCTCGTCCTCGGCAAACAAGTCGTCGTCGTCGAGCTGCTGAAAAATTTCATATAAAAAATATATTCACGTCAAAATTTAAATTTTTTTATACCATTTTTTTGTTAAAAATAAATCAAAATTCCTGTATTTTGAAATTTTTAACCAAAATAAAATACACTAAAACCAACTACTGAAAAATTCAATATAAAAGAAATTCAACAATTCTTTCAATTAAAAAAAACAAATCAAAACGTCTACAATTTTTAATTTAAAACAAAACACGGTTAAAAATTCAATATATTGAATATTTTCAAAAAAAATTTCATATATGAAAAAATACGCCAAAATTTCATTTTTTTAAATAAATAATAGATCAAAGTTACCCTATTTTATAATAAATCAAAATCCGTGAATTTCAAAAATTTTCACAAAAAAAAACACACCAAAACTCACAGCAAAAAAATCAAATTTCTTTCTGTTACAATTTTTTAAATGCAATTTTCTACATTTCTTAAATTTCTAAACAAAAAATACCCAAAAACCTTTTGCTAAGAAAATCGTTCCTTGCACCATTTTGTAATTAAAAATAAATCATAATTTCTGCATTTTCTTCAAAATTTTTAATAAACACCCGACCCACCCGAAAACTCACCCCTTTTCTAATCATTCTGTACAACCTGGTCGCTGCGGGGCTCAAAATGCGCACATTTTTCGGCGACACGACCCCCGGAAGTCCCCCGCCCAAGTTGGAACTCGACGGATCGCCCAACCCCAACGCCACGGCACAAGCGTAAAGTACAAATATCGTCGCGAATACGGTGAATTTCGACATTTTCAAAATTTCAAGTAGGAAATCTTCAAAATTTCTCAAAATTTGAAGAAAATTTATGTATCTTTACTTCCCGTCTGGAGAATGTCTCGGGAGAAAGTGGTGCCTAAACCTGGCTGGGTCTGGACTTTTTATTTGGGCTGCAGAATTCCCAAGGGGGCCGAAGAGTGACCTACGTAGCCACTCAGCCGTATGGCGTGGATCGTGGATTTGTTTACCATTTTCTTAAAAAAAATTAACGTCACTTATCTACTTCCCACAAATTTAATTAAATCACGCCATGACTGGAACTCATTTGAATAATAAAATGCGCAAGTAAAACGTGGGTGGAGGGAGGTGGAAGAAAGTTTACTACTTTTCTTCGTTGTGGGGAAAGTTTTCTCAGAAAATAATTAAGTGGCGTCATCCGCTTATTGGGAACGTTTTGTCCGTCCGTCCGTCCGTTAACTTATCTAGAACGCCTTAATGTAGATTCGATACCTCATCGTGCAAACCAGATTTTCAATCTGATATCCAATGACGTTAAAGGATAAATTTTCCAAATTTTTTTTTTTCGTCAAAATTAGCACATTTCTAATTATTTCAGCTTTGGGAATTTATTTTAAAATTCTGGACGACAAATTTGTAGTCAGTGAGTTGATTAATGGAATGGTGACGAGTTTTTGAACCGGTTTTGACGAGTACCAATTTTTCTGAGGGCTTCTTAAACTTGAGATCTCCTTCCAAAAGTGTCAAAATCTGGATTGTAAATTTAATAAAAATTGGGAACGACCTGCCCTACAAATTTGTCGACCAGAATTTCTAAAAAATTGGGAACGACCTGCCCTACAAATTTGTCGACCAGAATTTCTAAAAAATTGGGAACGACCTGCCCTACAAATTTGTCGTCCAGAATTTTAAAATAAATTCCCATAGGCGAGACATGATTAAGAACGCGGTTATTTTGACAATTTTAGGGATGAGTCCTACATATGTACGTTTAATGAGAAGGTCGATAACAATTTACCAAGTCCGTTTAGTGTAAAATTGTGCATACCACCACTTTTTTACGTTCGCTTGTACACGATCTATTTATTTGAACATCCAGGATGAAATTAAATTTCAATTTAACGTTTGCCTTTTCTACGTCGTGGTTTCCTTTGGATTTAGAAAATCCAGAGAAGATGAGTTCGTCGCTGGTGGTGTGGTCAGAGGGGACGAGATGTCATCTTCCTCCTCTTCATGTCACTGTCAATTAGGCTAAATCCACGTCACCCACTTTTCTCCACACCCTTTTTCTCCCTCTCCTTTGATAAAACCCCATTTCATTTATTTTCAAAACCAACCAGTTATGCAACTCTTTTTTTAGTCACAGACAGACAGACACAATTTATTTGTACCTACAGAAATAACTTCAAAGGATATTTCTGAAAAGAGAAAAACGATCCAAATTCGATATTATGAAATGAAGGATTTTCTCGGATAAGGGGAAGATTTCAGTGAAAATAAATAAGTAAGTAAAAGGTCACCTTTTTTTTGAGAAAGGATTTCTATTACACTTTGACCCTTATTTTATGATCTTATCCAACATGACAGTTATCTAATTTGTGACAAATAAGAGGAAAAGTGAATGAAATGATAATGAGGCAAGGTGAGACTGCTATTTTTATTTACGAGAAATTTGTGTTTCATATTTATTTTGTCATGTTGAAAAAATTTCAGAAAACAGACCCAGTTATGCAGCTCTTTTTTAGGCGTCGTTATTCATAAACAGAAATAACTTGAAACGATACTCTTTTTTCCACTTTTTAGAGAAAAGCGATGCAAATTTGATATTATGAAGGATAAGAGGAAGATTTCATTGAAAATAAATAAATAAGTAAAAGATCAATTATTTTTTTTGAGACAGGATTTGTATTACACTTTGACCCGTATTTTATGATGTTATCCAAGATGACAGTTATCTTTATTTGTGACAAATAATGGTAAAGTAAAAGTGAATAAAATGATGATGAGGTAAGCTGAGACTCTTCCATCACCTCAAGGCGGATATGTATTTAAGAAAAATTGCTGTAATTTGTATATATTTATTTTTTATAAAATGTTGAAAAAATTTCAGAAAACACAACAAATTATGCAGTTCTTTTTTTAGGCGTCGTTAGTCACAAACAGAATTAACTTGAAACGATATTTTTCACTTTTTTGAAGAGAAAAACGATCCAAATTCGATATTATGAAATGAAGGATTTTCTCGGATAAGGGGACGATTCCATTGAAAATAAATAAATAAGTAAAAGATCACAATTTTTTGAATTTGTGTACACTTTGATCCTCACATTTTATTTTATGACTTGCTTTTTATCACCTTATCCAAGATAATAGCAGTTATCTTTTGAGGAAAAGTATCTCATATTTGAACATGAGGTGTGTCAAAGAAAATAAAAATAAGTCAAATGGAATGATGAGGCAAGGTGAGACTATGCCATTTTTATTACGTTTATCGTCAACCTTATTATTTGTAAATAGCTTCAGAAGTTAATCTGGAAAAGAAATTTTTTGAAATACCAAATTTTGAAATACCAAATTTTGAAATACCAAATTTTGAAATACCAAATTTTGAAATACCAAACCTTTTGAAATTTCAAAAATTTCAAAAATTATTATTTCTCAATTACAACAAATTTGTTAAAATGATGCGTCCGACTAAATTTTTTATCAATATTGAGAATTAATTTGGAATAACAGATTCGAGGTCGGTTAGCTTTGGCACAGGTGAAAATTAGTCTTTGAAATATTAACAGAAGAAAATTCAAAAAATTCAGAAAATTAAAAAATGCATTTTTTTATAATCATCAATATTTCTATAAAAGTTTTTTTTTATTTGAATATGATTCTAAATTTTTGAAATTTGGTCTTTTTCAATTACAACGAATTTGTAAGTATAATACGTCAATCTAAAATTTTTGTTAATTTTGAATATCAATTAAAAACAATAGGTGATATAATTCGGTGTACTGAATTGTACGACAAAATTATTTTTTGAAATTGAATTAAATTCACAAAAAAAAATTATGATGCCCTTTTCTAATCATCAATATTTTTTATAAAAGTTTCGTTCCTGAAATTTGAAAATGATGCTGCGTTTTTGAAATTTGTCCTTTCTCAATAGCAACGAATTTGTTATGTTTATGATTAATCGAACTAAGATTTTTTGTTAGTTTTGAGCATAAAAAATGAACTGAAACTGCAAATGAAACTGAAGAATTCCCATCATTTCAGATGAATGACTGTGAATGAAAGGATTTCTGACTAATTTCATTTTTCATCCTATGTTTAATACATGGTGCGAAGTAAGAAATGAAGTCAGATGAAGTGAAATGAAATGAATTTGATAGAAAATGATTAAATGTGAATGAAAATCTTCAGTGAGAAATCGGAATGAGTGACTTTTGAAGAAATACTAAGGTTTTGAACAGGTATGATTTTATTTATTCTTACCTAATTCGCATTTTTTTTATTTTTATAGGAGAGCTCCACATCGAAAGATAATTTAAAAGAAAACTGGTATTTTAAAGTTGAAGAAAGATTCGAAGATCAGCTTATTTCTCTGGTCAAAGATGAATTTTTTGAATAAAAACAAACGTTCTCAAAATTTGATCACAGATTCTTGAATGAAACTAAATTTTTGAACAAGTATGATATGAAGTAAATCAAGAGCGGACATGTGTTTACCAAAATCGAGGAAATAAGTTATTAAAAAAGCGGAAAAATACGGACGAAATATATACCTACACTCAAAATAAAGTAGTAATGAATCATTACATGCGGAATGACCATGTGGCTCTACCATGTCGGTTACGATTTGTCGTAGAAATGGTAATAATAAGTTCAGGGAATTCAAATTTAATACATAATGGTATTCACTTCCTTAATATTTGGTAATGAATTTGAATTTCCCTGAACTTATTATTACCATTTCTACGACAAATCGTAACTGACGTGGTAGAGACACATAGTCATTCCGCATGGTAATGATTCATTACTACCTTATTTTGAGTGTACGTGTAAAACATAAAAATCAAAATTTTTGCAGAATTTTCATTTCTGCAGATTTTTTGCAATCGAATTACTTCGAGTAAATTCTATTTCGTCTGGTATCGTTGAAATATGTTTTTAACACAGAGGTTGAAAAATTTACTTTTTTTTCAAACACTGTAATAGCGGAAATATTTGTATACCTGGGTATATTTCTGAAAACTTACAAATACATAGCTCACCAAATTATAATTACATGAAAATAATTTTGACCTACAAAAACAATTGCGAATTGAAAGAAGATGTCCCAATCATATCTAAATTATTTCAGAAATGGATGCTCAACATTTCCCAAAATTTTAGTATGACGCTTAATATTTACAATTTCGCAGTACTTCAAAAGTAATAAATGTTAATGATTTAATTATAAGTACGTAAAAAACACGTAATTTTTATTGGTCATTAGAAAAAAGGCATTTTATGCATTCAGAATTTTTGAAATTTTTTAATTTACTTCTATTTCAAAAAATATTTGTAACCTTCGAACAAATTGATTTAACCCAGGCTGCACCAACCGAGAAAATCACATGTATTATTGGTGTCCCCGGTGTCAATTTCGTGTTTGGGGCATTATTCGTGTAAATATTTTTTTAAACACGTTCGTAACACGTATTACAAAAACGACTTTCAAACGGATTCTTTATCACCAATTTTCTCGTTCATAACACATGTACAACCCGAGAATTACAACAACCCGAAACTCGTGTTTTCGAACACCAGAAATTCACGAGAATTTCTAGTGTTGTTGGTCACAGAAACCTAAATGCTGCTCTCTCCGTTGTAAAGAAAGAGGGACAATTCTTTAGTTCGAGATGAGTAATGGAGAAAGCACGATCAAGAAAAATATTCCGAAAAGTAAGGCAAGGAAATTCGGATTTTGCATTAATTTCAGAAAGTGCAGAAAAAATAATACCGCTGCCCTCGTCATCCTTGCCAGAGGCACACACACAGAGTTCACCATCACCCGAATATTTGATTTTTGAAGCAGATGACATCTCGGATTATTCTGACAATAATTTATCCACGCAGTCAAATCTAAGTGATAGTGATTCTGAACAGTCTAATACGGAAAGTAGTGCAAGTGATTTAAGGGGGTGGGCACTAAAGCATAACATTACATTCTCTGCTTTAGGAGATCTGCTGGAAATTTTGAATCGACATCCTAATTTTGATTTACCGAAAGATCCTAGAACACTTTTATGCACTCCAAGATCGACTACAATTGAAAAGGTGGAGCCTGGCGAATACGTACATTTTGAGTGGATTTCATCCGTCGAAAAGTTAATTCAAGTTCCAACAGCAGACTATATTAAAATTCAAATTAATATTGACGGAATCCCCCTCTATAAAAGCAGCACAAGACAATTCTGGCCCATTTTAGCGAAAATTGTAGAATATAATCAGGTCGTTGTAATTGGAATTTATTCTGGTTTTGGAAAACCTACAAATATTAGTAATTTTTTGAGACAGTTTGTCAACGAATTCAACACCATAGAGCAATCTTCGAATTTAAAACTTAAAATATCTGCAATTGTGTGTGACGTCCCAGCAAGATCATTTATTTTGGGGACAAAGTGTCATAATGGTTATAGTTCTTGTGGAAAGTGTGACATAAATGGTGAATATTTGGATAATAGAGTTACCTTTCCACCAGGAAATTATAATTTAAGAAATAACGAAAATTTCCGATCAAAATTAGATACAGCACATCATAATCAAGCCTCAATAATAGAATTACTACCCATTGATTTAGTAGAAGATGTGCCAGTCGATTTTATGCATCTTGTGTGCCTGGGAGTGACCAGAAAATTACTATTTTTATGGGTGAAAGGAAAAAAATGTCCAGGTCGTCTGCGTCCTCACCAAGTTGACCAATTATCCACTAATTTGCTAAAAATCAAAACCTCAATAGCAAAAGAATTTTCAAGAAAACCACGTCCAATTAGAGATCTCGAACACTGGAAAGCAACTGAATACAGACAGTTTATTTTATATACTGGCCCCACAGTTTTGAAGAAAATCCTTGCTCCTCAATTTTACCAGCATTTTTTGTGTTTCCACGTAGCCATCACGATTCTTGCAAATCCTAACACTTATCTGAGTAAAAATAATTATGCACAAGAGCTACTAATATATTTCGTTAATAACTTTGGTGAATTATATGGGAAAAAGTATAACAGTCATAATCTTCATAATTTACTACATTTATCCCGGGATTGCATTCGACACGGTCCCCTTGACCAATTTAGTGCTTTCCCGTTTGAAAATAAGTTACAACAAATAAAGAGATTGGTGAGATCTCCATCTCTCCCCTTGCAACAAGTTTACCGGCGGTTAGTTGAAAGAGAAAAAATAGACCTGTCCTCTTTCAAGCAGCCAGTTTGTCAAGTATCGTTTTTCCAAGTCGACATTAATTCACCCGAGTGTTTCAAAGTGTGTAAGTTTGCAAATTTCGAATTATCCAACAAATTAGGGAACAATTTTTGCAAACTAAAAGATGGAACTATAATTAAAATTCACCATTTTGTTAGAGGATCACCTTCAGAATTATTTGGACAGAAGTTTAAAAAACGTGAAGATTTTTTTCAATCTCCTTGTCCTTCTTCTTTAATTGGTGTTCAACTTATCTCCGACTTGAGTGCAGTACGAAGATTTAATATTAATTTAATCGAATCAAAATGTGTAGTACTTCCATTTGAGACTGAATTTATATGCTATCCCTTGATTCACAGTGAAATTCAGTGACTTTTTACAATGCCGTACTCTATAGTTCATTTTGTTGAAACTGACGAGGTAGAAATTATCCCAATCAATTGGCTGTCAGCAAGTAAAAATAAATGTTGGTGGCCGCCGTACAAATCTTCAGAACGCCAATCGAAGGCCGTCATGAATGGGGACACGCCAAATCAGCAAGTTTGGTTATCGTTTGACGTAAAAGTTTTAGGCGGAGGCAAAATATTTGGTGAGTCTTTTTTATTGCATACATTGATAAAGTTATTTATAAGAAAGAAAAATGCTGTTTATTTGTTTGTTAAGGTTCTTATAATCAAGCAAAAAATAATGTTGGAAAAGCATTGGAAGAAACTGATCCGGAATTTGAGAGCGACTTGGAAGTAACTGGTCGAGGGCAACGACACAAGAAAACTGTTCATCTACCACCGCCCGGCGACTCCGATAGTGAAGAAGAACCGCCCAAAATGAAGCAAAATCGTTCTATTCCCACGAAGACAATACCGCCACCACCACAATATTTTAGTAAGTTAAAATCGCGCATTTTTTATATTCCATTGCACCAAAAAAGTAGTATAATAAATAATACTGTTTATCCAGGTTTAGTGGGAGAGGGCTTGCAATCAGAAAAGGAAGACGGCCACGAATCAAGTTTACCAGGACCGAGTGACCCCCCATCGCCAACTAATTCACAGCAATACCAAGGCACACTCTCTAGCGAGCAAGTTTTATCTAGCTCTCACGAATTGGAAAGCCGTTCGATTCCTCAGGCAGAGGACATTGATACAACTTTCGGCAGAGATAATGGCACGTCACCAAACGCAGGAAATTTAGGTAGGTGTGTGACAATTTATGTAATGTCTCAGTAATAAATAACTTGTATTTTACAGAATTCTAAAAGTGGATGGTAAGGCATACGTGCGACCAAGGATGTAAAGATTGCTACACAGCGGATACTAGCCAAGTTGCTGACAGATAAGTATGCATCGTCATACAACTGGATTGGTTCAAGAGGACCGAAGTCACCTTTTTCAAAATCATGGATGAAGCACATTATATATGGTGAATTAGTTGTATGTGAATTAATTAAATATATAATGCGCTCCTTTAAATTAAATTCACCAATGAAATTGCTGTGTTTTCAGAGGCAATTCAAGGACTGGAAAACTTGGGCAACGCTGACGACGACGAGATTTGGGAAGCAATTAAAAATTGGCTCAAAAATTCCAACAAGCGTATTGAATCGGATAGGTAGGACAAAATGCAATATTATTTGTACCTATTTATAAAACTTTCATAATTTTTACTTTATTTAATTAGGAAAAAGTTGGAGAAGTCCAATGCAGCTCTTCCATTAAGAAATACTGGACCAGAATCAGACAATTGATTTTTTTCACAATTTTTTATTGTTATTTGGATTTAAAACTTTATGTAATGTTAATGGTCAGTAATAAATCATAATTCCCGCATCTAATTTGCAAATAAATCTCGTGTTCTGAACGTATAATTTCACTTTTTAATACGTGTTTTTTTGGGGTTATTCTCGTGATTTGATCGCGAAACTCGTTCCTTCAACACGTGTTTAGAACGAATAAGATACGTTAAAAATCGCGACACTTGCACCCAGTTGAGCACCAAATCTATACCAGTCTCCCACGTCGCTAACACGAAAACTGGGGTCGCCAGATTCGTTAAAAATTGGTGATAATCTCGTGATTGTGCAGCCTGGGAAAGATCTATCTACTTTTTATTTAAATTTAATGATCAACATTTCCCAAAATTTTTATGTGACCCTTAATATTTACATTTCGTAGTATTTGAAAAGTAAAAAAAAGTAATAATTTTGACCTACAAAAATAGTCAACCTGAATATTCAATCTAAAATTTCTAATTCATCCTCAACCTTTGAGGAGACGATTTCTATCAACTAATTTCGTAGCAATTGAGACTTAATAAATTTAAAAACATTCATACTTCGGAAATTTAAAGACAACGTTAGAAATGATTTATTACTACACATTGTATCTATACTAAAAAAGTAATATTCAAACTTGTACAAAATTGTGGAGTATAAATTGTTTGTAATTGAAAAATTCAAAATTTAGTACAACTTCACAGTCACAATCATACTTAGGGATGGTAATCCGTATCCTAAATTAACCGATCCGTAGGATAGGATCGGATAAATACAGGATCGGATCGGATTTGCTCGCTTTAGGATCGGATCGGCTCCCGGTTCTACTCGAAATCCGATGCGATCCGATTCTAGGATCGTAGGATATCCGCGGATGATATGTGTGAGACACCTTGTGTCTAACTATGGAAATACTTTACCAGCTGCTTTTCTTTATTTATTGGAACGGTTTTTGGTGAGTTCATCACATGGCGTACATTACCCGAATGAGCCGAATTATGTTATTATTCTACACCAGTTATTTTTATTTTGGCGTTCAAATTATTCAATTTAGTATGATTTCAACGCCAAAATAAAAATAACTGGTGTAGAATAATAACATAATTCGGCTCGTTCGGGTAATGTACGCCATGTGATGAACTCACCAAATGTGAAACGAGTTTACATCGGATGATCCGAGGATCCTGTGTGATCCTAGGATCTCATCGGTTAGGATCGGATCGGATTGTCTGATCCTCGGATCCTCTATCCGATCCGTGTGAAAATCCGATCCTATCCGAGTTTTTACGATCCTAGGATAGGATCGGTTACGGATTACCATCACTAATGGCCACCATTGACAAAAATTTCAGTACGACGCATTACATTAACGATTTCTTTGCAATTCAGAAATGGTAAATTTTTAAAATTCAACCTAAAAAACATGTAATTTTAGAGCAATTATTAGTGATTAGAACAAGTTTTTAATTAGTTTTCATTTTTTTTCTGGAATTTACTTCTATTTCAAGCAAAAAGTTTAACAAAATTTATTGAAATTGAGACAACAAATTTTACAAATTAAGGAATTTAAAATCATGTTAACAATTATTATTAACATTTTCAGATTTTGCTTTTAATCTTTTGAGTTTGTAGATTCACATCTTAACGGTTTTACGTTTTCAGAATTTTATTTTTTTTTGTAAACTTACATCTATTTCAAAAATAATTTTAACATAGCAAAGCCATTAAAAAATTCTTCTTGTACTTAATGAAATGCTCCACATTTACAAAATTTTAGTACGACGCATTACATTAAATTCATTTAAAAATTCAGAGTCATAAATATTCAAAGTTTTAAAAAACATGTAAGTTTTACAGTAATTATCGGTTGTTACAAAATTAGTTTTCAAAATATTCAAACTTTTTGAACTTATCTCTAATTCAAGAAAAAAAACTTTCATAGATCTGAGGAGTCTGATCTGTTATTTAAAATCAATATTCAACGCTTATAAAAAATTTAGTGTGACGCGTAACATTGACAAATTTGTTGAAATTAATATATAATAAACCGTTGCAAACGAAATGTAGCAAAGGGGTGAGAAGCGACTCGATCACGAGGTCATCATGGCGAGTCGAAATCATACCTGTTCACTTTCATTCATTTGACGGATTAAGATAATATGAATGATGATGAATGAAAATGAATTTTCCATTACTTTAATGAAAATATCTGAAAGATTTCGCTATGTCAAATGAATGAAGGGATTTCTCACTCTTTTCATTCTTCACCCTATGCTTAATACATGGGGCGAAGTAAGAAATGAAGTCGGATGAAGTGAAATGAAATGAATTTGAACGAATATGACTGAATGTGAATGAAAATCTTCAGTCAGTAATCATGAAGAATGACTTATGAGTGAAAACAATTTTTTTAAACCGGTATTATCAAAACTATGTGGATTTCTGAAGTCCATGTCCCAAACTACATCAAAAACGGTTGAAATAAAAATTTCGACAGGTTTAAAAACGTTAAAAAAGTAATGTGTCATTAAAGTAGATAAAATTGCATTATTTGCATTTATCTTAAAACTCAAGAATTTGATCCCATTTTAGAAATCTTCCCTTGAACAGATTGAATTGGGGTAGATTGAGATTAAGAATTTATGCTACATCAAATCGGCATCCTAATAAGTAACCTTAAAAAGGCCCCTTATTTTTTTACGCAAATTTGTGTCAAGAGCATACCTGTTCACTTTCATTCATGTGACTGGTTATGATAGTGAATGAAAATGAATTTCCTGACACTTGAATAAATATGATTGAGAGATTCGTCATTTCAGATGAGTGACTGTGAATGAAAGATTTCTCACATCTTCTATTTTTCACCCTGTGCTTAATACATGGGCAAAGTAAGAAATGAAGTCCAATGAAGTGAAGTGAAATGAAATGAATTTGAACGAAAATGACTCAATGTGAATGAATATCTTCAGTTAGAAATCAAGATGACTGAATTTTGAATGAAAAAAGTTTTTTTGAACAGGTATGGTCAAGAGTAGTATATAAAGTGATAAAGTGGATCACGAGGCGAAATGAGACTAAATACTATTCATTCATTTATTAATGGTCGAACCTATTCAATTCAGATCCAACTTTTGTTAATCGATGCAAAGGTAAAGTAAACCGTGCAAAACGGCGTCACGAATATGTAATGAATTCATAAAAAATACTCATAGATTTACTTTACCAAATTCATGGTGAACCAGAATTTTATTTCATTTCAAATTTCAAAAAGTAACATGACATTAAACTACTAAAATTTGCATTTACCCGAAAACTCACCAAATTGCTGCCATTTTGGAAATTTCCACTAAGTAAAAGTTCATTTTTTTTTGTTCTCAAATTTGTGACAAGAGTAACATTTAAAGGACGCAAAGCTGGATCAGTAAGCAAAACGAGATCTTTGTCATTCATAATCCAACACATGCAAATCTAACCTTTTTATCCATCTATTAAATCTAAAGTAAAACATGCAAAACTGCGTCACGAATATGCACACATACAAAAAAAAACACGGATTTATTTTACCAATGAAAATGTTAATAATTCCATGTAAAATGTGATGCAGTAAAGTTGATCACGAGGTAAGATGAGACCATACCTGTTCAAAAATTAAGTTTTCATTCAAAAGTCAGTCACTACTATTTCTGACTGATGATTTTCATTAACATTGAGTCATTTTCGTTGAAATTCATTTCATTTCATTTCACTTCACTTCATCGGACTTCATTTCTTACATCGCCCCATGTATTAAGCATAGGGTGAAAAATTAAATGAGTGAGGAATCTTTCATTCAAAGTCATTCCTTCATCTGAAATGAAGGAATCCTTCAGTCATTTTCATTCAAATGAGAGGAAATTCATTTTCATTCATTATATCCCTCACCATTATAATTACACAAATGAATGAAAGTGAACACGTATGGATGAGACTATGTTATTCATTCATAAAGGAAATTGATATCTTACTTGTCACTTGTATTCTTTGTCGCAAAACGTAAGATCAAAGGCGTTACGAGGTTCACACATAAAATTTTTATAGGTTTTTATTTTTTTTCACGTTTTTTTCTTGTTTCAAAATTTCGACAAAAGTGTAATAAAAATATGCAAAAAAGCTGCAGTAAGTTGATCACTAGGCAAGATGAGCATGTTATTCATTCATTGTAGAATAGATGCAGATCCACTTTTATTAATCGTCACAAATGTAAATCAGAAAGGTCAAAACGACGTCACGTGTATGCAAATAAATACATAAAATACACGTTGTTTTGTCACTTTATAAAGTTTTCAGTGACAAAAGGTAATCCAGACCTGACTTTCGTTGTAAAATTTGCAACAAATACAACTTTACATTTAATGTAAAGTAAAACGTGCAAAATGCAAATCCATATATGATTACATAACAAATTTGAAATTTGTAAAATTTAAAAAATAATTTTGTGAAAACTAACGAAAACCATTGGGAGTAGACTTTAACCACAGATATGGAGAGACACTATGTCACTCCATATCTGTGACTTTAACTTAATCGATTGTTTTCAATATATCCTCCACGACGACACAAATTTGGTGCGACGCGTAATATTTACAAATTCGTGGTAATTACTTAAGAAATCATAAATTCAATCCAATTCATATTAAAAAAGATGTAGTTTTGATGACAATTATAATTTCGTAATTATAAAAAGACGTTTAATAGTTTCAGAATTTTGATTTAATTAATTTTCGGAATTTATTTTTATTCCAAAACATAATTTTGTTGACCTATGAAAAACTGATCTATGTTATTCTAAAACAATTCTCAAAATTTACAAAAATTTTAGTGCGACGCATATAATCAACAATTTCTTTGTAATTAACAAATAATTATTTGTAAAAAAAATGTAGAGGTTCGATTTATTTAAATATTTAAAAACGCTAACAAATTATAGATTATTAGAAACCAAGATTTTACTTTTTCAGAATTTTGTAATTTTGGAAATTTATTTGTCTCAAACCCAAATTTTGAACCACCTATGTAAAGAT